CAAACAATTTCGTGGCTAAAACTGTCCCCAGGTTCTTTAAAGTGCACGCGCACTTTTTGGAGGAAACAAGCGGTCAGGCTTCACAGCCATGCATGAGTTGTTTTTTGTCTACTAATGCATGTCGTTATTAGTATTAAATGTGTCCACACTGGTTAGTTCTATTTGAAAGCAACAGCTTCACGTGCAATTATTTCGGTTTTTCAAATTTTTAAAAAGTCATATCTTTCAAACCGCGCGTCGGAATCCAGACCCGTCTTCACCGTTGGATTCTTCGCGACGAGATCTTTGACACTAGATCCCGCATGGGTATATTTTGACGAAATTTTTTTGATGCCAACTTTGACGCTATATTGTGCAACTTCAATATTGCACTGTGCAACTTTAGTACTACATGGTGCATTTTTTTTTCAAAATTAGTTTTTGGAGCTGCATGATCTAATTTCACATGAGGTTACAACCTAGCAACCATGAAAATTTGATGTGCAACTAGTCTACTGTCCTGACCAACTATGTAGTAGTCAGTGTGCAACCCTTGTCCCTATTCGTGGATGTGTAGGTTTTTTTATAGTTGACACACCCTGCCCCACCTTCCCTACCAGTGATATGTGCAACTTAGTCTGTTGTTCGAGCCAACTTCCTATTATTAAATGTGCAACTCCTTCCCCTCCCTAGTTGTGGATTTGTAGTTTCAGTTGGCGGGGGCAACAAATGGAGTTGCACAAAGTCTGCTAGACGGTTGGCCGGAGCAACATATAAAGTTGCACATCTCACAAGCAGAGATAGTTGGATGGTGAAAATTTCACATTCATGAGGGTAGTGAAAAGTTACATATTCACGAGGGTAGTAAAAGTTGCATATAAACGGGGCGCTAAAGTTGCACATCCCACTAGATGGGTGGTTTCGGGTGCTAGTAAGGAAATTACACATCCATGAGGTATGAGAGATAGTTGCACATCACTGGTAAACAGTTGGAGGTGATGGTATCCGAAGTTGCACTTCCACTACTAGACAGTTGGCTGATGTAGCAAACAGTGAAAGCACAATCATGGAGCAAGGGGAAAGTTGCACATGAACTACTAGGCAGTTGGTCTTGGCAAACACGAATTTGAACATCTCACTAGGAGGAGGTAGTTTGGGGGTAGATGTGCCATAAACTACACTTCCACAAGATAGGTGAAAAGTTGCACATCCACTATCGGGTAGTTACACACCGACTGCTATGCAGTTGTACAAAACAAGGGACTTAGTTGCACAAAAAAAATTCGTCGAAATATATCCATGCGGGATGTAGTTTCGAAGAGCACGTCGCGAGGGTTCCAACGATGAAAACGGATCTAAATTTTGACACACAGTTTGAAAGATATAGCTTTTTAAAAAATTTAAAAACCAAAATTATTACACAAAAGACAACGTGAGCTAGATGCATGCAGACATCATAATAGTAATGTATTTTTTAGCACTTTTGGTTCACACGAAAAATAATACATTAATTTTTTTTAAATCACATGAAACAAAAACTTTTTAAATAGGTAGGCCACTCCAGACCACTAGGAGCAGCCGACGTGTCCAAAACTGTGTGAGCGGTCAGGAGACAATTAGGCGACGCGGGAGTTGCCCTGAGAGGGGTGGGAGGTGCTGAGGGATGATGGCAGGGGGAGGACACTAAAAATTGGTAAACTTTCAAATTAAAATAAATTGGGATTTTATTTGGGGGGCGAGTGTACTGGGAATTTGGGATCCGCGGCACCTCATCATAATCCAGACACTGTTATTGGGACAGCCCCGCTTCACCCTGCTGGAGATATATTATCGAGGATTTGCCTCAGTTACCAGTGGTCTCTTTCAGTTTCGGGTCGCAGCACAGACAGGAGGAGGGACATGGAGGCGGCCGGCGCGGGGAAAGCGGCGGCCGGCGCGGGGAAAGCGGCGGCCGTGTGCGTGACCGGCGCGGGAGGCTTCATCGCCTCGTGGCTCGTCCGGCGCCTCCTATCCAGAGGAGACTACGCGGTGCATGGCACCGTCCGTGATCCCAGTAAGATTTTCTTGAGATGATCCATCCTCCTATCTCTCGCAGGTCTAGGCGAAAGCTTTAAGATGCGAAGTTCCCCGTCTGCAGGCGACCCCAAGAATGATCACCTGAGGGCGCTGGCCGGCGCCGGCGAGCGGCTGCGGCTGTTCAAGGCCGACGTGCTGGACTACTTGAGCGTGGCGTCCGCCGTGGCCGGCTGTGCCGGCGTCTTCCACATCGCAAGCCCCTGTCCCGCCGCCAAATCGACGAACCCCGAGGTAATTAACAGCCTAGCTGTAGCACACAAGCGTGAGCATAGGCGACGGTAATTAATTGGTTGCACGGCGCAGGTGGAGCTGCTTGCCCCGGCGGTGGCCGGCACGCTGAACGTGCTCAGGGCCTGCCGCGAGGCCGGCGTCCGCCGCGTCGTCGTGGTATCGTCGGTCGGCGCGGTCTTCATCAACCCCAAGCTCCCCGAGGGCCCCGTCCTGGACGAACACTGCTGGTCCAATGAGGAGTACTGCAGAACAACTGAGGTGACGACTCGGTCTATTTTCTCTCTCTCTCTCGCTCTGACCACTCAGGAGTAGATTAAGCTGTAGTACTAGTTGTTTTCCAAACTGATTTTCATGAGAAAGCTTGCACCAATCTGCCAGTCACTGTTGTTTTCATCCAGTTTGTTCAAAAAGCCGTTTTCATCCGGATCCTGCTTCATCCATTTCGCAATATTAGTGTGTCCACGCTTTCCGAGATTCAAATTTAACCATAAATTTAATCAATGAGACCAATTGCGGTAGGAGCAAAAATTATATCACTGAATTCGTATTTTCGATATGAATTCAGTGATATAATTTTTGCTCCCACCACAGTCAGTCTTGTTGGTTAAATTTACGATCAAACTTGAATCTTGAGAAATACGGACGCATTACGTTGTGAAATGAAGGAATGGAGGGAGTAGCTACTAGTACTGCTGAACTGACACGATGGCTTATGCCAGAACTGGTACTGTCTGTCCAAGACACTAGCCGAGCGCGAGGCACTCTCCTACGCAGAGAAGACCGGGCTAAGCGTGGTGACCGTGTGTCCCTCGCTGGTGTTCGGCCCTCTGCTGCAGCCCACGGTGAACGCCAGCAGCTTGTTCCTCATCAACTACTTGAAATGTAAGCTCCATTTTGCGCACTTTGATCTTTTCGCATTCAGATTCAGATATGTAAATACAGATGCAGTTCTTGCTAACATACGGTTGGTTTGATCTTGATCTACGAATGCAGGCGAAGGCGCGGACGCCATGGAGGACAAGGTGAGGAACATGGTGGACGTCAGGGACGTCGCCGACGCCCTTGTACTGGCGTACGAGAGCCCGGAGGCGGCCGGCCGCTACATCTGCAGCGCGCATGCCAGGAAGGTCTCTGAAACGGTTTCCATCGTCAGGAGCATGTATCCGAACCTGAACTACCCAAAGAAGTAAGACGCCACACTTACGCTCGCCTTACGCCACGTATGTGCAGTGATTGTGTGCAAACTGACAGTAAGCTCGTGATTTTGACGGCGGTGACGATGATTTTGGCAGGTACGTTCAGGTGGGAGATCAGAAGGTGTTCAGCTCCGAGAAGCTGCGGAGGCTGGGGTGGAAGTTCACGACGCTGGAGGAGATGCTTAAGGACAGCGTTGAGTCCTACATGGCTGCAGGAATCCTAAACTGAGCTTGGCAATGCGACTGTCAAACAAACTGAATTTGGCCATGGTGTATGTGCAAAAGGAGTGAGTGTGAGGCCTTGTACAACGAAAGATGCTTAAAAAAATAAATCGGATTTTTCTGAAGCATCGACGCCTATTTTTATAGAAGAGACGCTTAGTTAAGCGTCTGTTTTGTACAAATAAGCACAGGTGCTTAAGAAAATTCTGATTTATTTCTCTAAACACCTCTCCTAAGCATCTCCCATTGTACAAGGCCTGAAGTGTAGCCAGATGTTGCTAGTTTCAATTCATGGGCAGCTGGTTAGCTGATTTGTGCCATGATCAAACTGTACCCTGAAAATTGTAGGGTGTTTCTTTTTTGCAGGAAAATATTCTTCTTTTTTAAATTGGAAAACTTCTATTTCATTAGCCAAAACAACCAGCTAAATCGCTGGTAACCAGACCACAAGCAAAGTCCGGGACACCATCCTCCCATACAGTTGAGGAAGCAAGCTCTAGGCTAGCACCAAAGGCAGCTAAAGAATCAGCTACTTGTATTACTCAAAAACTGAGAATCTTCTATTAAGATATTATAAGCTCGCCGCCTGGTGCATCGAGAGTTGTGGGGACGCTATAGGTCTATCCTGAAACGGTGTGTGTCGTTGGGCCAGGCGGTTTTGAGAAGGTATTGCTTGATTTTTGTTATACTTTTTTCCCTGTGCTTTCACCGGTTTTAATAATGTTATTTTGATATATTTTCCTGCTTTTTTATTTTTATTTTTATTTCTTTTTTTTTCTCTTTTTTATTGGTTCATTTTATTTTTTTCACATGTTCACTCATGAATATTTATTAAAAGGCGTGACATTTAAAAAATATCAAGATTTTTTGAAATTCATAAACATTTTCCAAATTTATGAACATAATTCACTAGTATTTTTAAACCCTATGAACATTTTTAATTTTTGAACCTTTTTAAACCCTATGAACATTGTTTGAAATCCACAAAAATAAATAAATCTGCATACATTTTTTTGAAATTCATGTTTTAAATTAGCAACATATTTTAAAATCCAATTGTTTTTCTAAAAAATACTTGAACTTCTTTTGATTAAATAAGCTTCTTCGAATAAAGAATATTGTACGTCTTTTTCGGAACTAGTAGTGGAGTGAGCACAAAAACAACTAAGCGAGCGAGGGAGCACGGTGCTGAGTGAGAAAGAGCTTTATGGGCCTCCCCATGTGAGCGTTATAATTGTAATTCCATGGTTTCAATGTGGAATAAGAACTCCCAAGGGGCTCAGCCAACCACCACCACCGGACACCGAGGGTATCTTCTCAAAAAAAAACTGACACCAAGGAAAAAACTTATAAGCACTACAGAACCACACACCTACCAACTTCCCTCTCCTCTCAGAATAAATATCGTCTCCATCAGTAGACCAAGATGATATACAACGTAAGATAATACTACTCAAATATAATTAAAACTCAAGCTAATGTAGATAAAAATCATGACAAAACAACCAATTGTAATAACCCTGTGAAGGAAATATGCCCTAGAGGCAATAATAAAGATATTATTTATTCATCATATCATGATAAATGTTTATTATTCATGTTAAAATTGTATTAACCGAAAACATAATACATGTGTGAATACATAGACAAATAGTATGTCACTAGTATGCCTCTACTTGACTAGCTCGTTGATCAAAGATGATTAAGTTTCCTAGCCACTGACATGTGTTGTCACTTGATTAACGGGATCACATCATTAGGAGAATGATGTGATTGACTTCGCCCATTCTGTTAGCTTAGCACCCGATCGTTTAGTATGTTGCTATTGCTTTCTTCATGACTTATACATATTCCTATGACTATGAGATTATGCAACTCCCGTTTACCGGAGGAACACTTTGTGTGCTACCAAATGTCACAACGTAACTGGGTGATTATAAATGTGCTCTACAGGTGTCTCCGAAGGTACTTGTTGGGTTGGCGTATTTCGAGATTAGGATTTGTCACTCCGATTGTCGGAGAGGTATCTTTGGGCCCTCTCGGTAATGCACATCACTTAAGCCTTGCAAGCATTGTAACTAATGAGTTAGTTGCAGAATGATGTATTATGGAACGAGTAAAGAGACTTGTCGGTAATGAGATTGAACTAGGTATTGAGATACCGACGATCGAATCCCGGGCAAGTAACATACCGATGACAAAGGGAACAACGTATGTAGTTATGCGGTCTGACCGATAAAGATCTTCATAGAATATGTGGGAGCCAATATGAGCATCCAGGTTCCGCTATTGGTTATTGACCGGAGACGTGTCTCGGTCATGTCTACATAGTTCTTGAACCCGTAGGGTCCGCACGCTTAATGTTTCGATGACAGTTATATTATGAGTTTATATGTTTTGATGTACCGAAGGTTGTTCGGAGTCCCGGATGTGATCACGGACATGACGAGTTGTCTCGAAATGGTCGAGACATGAAGATTGATATATTGGAAGCCTATGTTTGGATATCGGAAGTGTTCCGGGTGAAATTAGGATTTTACCGGAGTACCGGGAGGTTACCGGAACCCCCCGGGAGGTTAATGGGCCTTAGTGGGCCTTTACGAAGAAGAGGAGAGGCGGCCAGGGCTGGGCCGCGTGCCCCTCCCCCTAGTCCGAATAGGACAAGGAGAGGGGGGTGGCGCTCCCCCCTTCCTTCCTCTCTCACTCCTCTTTCCCCCTCCCAAGTCCTAATCTAACTAGGAAAGGGACTCCCGGAGTAGGACTCCTCCTGGCGCGCCCTCTCTCCTGGCCGGCCGCACCCCCCTTGCTCCTTTATATACGGGGGCAGGGGGCACCCTAGAGACACAACAATTGATCAGTTGATCTTTTAGCCGTGTGTAGTGCCCCCCTCCATCATAGTCCACCTCGATAATACTGTAGCGGTGCTTAGGCGAAGCCCTGCGTCGGTAGAACATCATCATCATCACCACGCCGTCGTGCTGACAAAACTCTCCCTTAATACTCGGCTGGATCGGAGTTCAAGGGACGTCATCGGGCTGAACGTGTGCTGAACTCGGAGGTGTCGTGCGTTCGGTACTTGATCGGTCGGATCGTGAAGACGTACGATTACATCAACCGCGTTGTGCTAACGCTTCCACTTTTGGTCTACGAGGGTACGTGGACAACACTCTCCCCTCTCGTTGCTATGCATCACCATGATCTTGCGTGTGCGTAGGATTTTTTTTGAAATTACTACGTTCCCCAACAGTGGCATCCGAGCCAGGTTTTATGCGTAGATGTCATATGCACGAGTAGAACACAAGTGAGTTGTGGGCGATATAAGTCATACTGCTTACCAACATGTCATACTTTGGTTCGGCGGTATTGTTGGATGAAGCGGCCCGGACCGACATTACACGTACGTTTACGCGAGACTGGTTCTACCGATGTGCTTTGCACACAGGTGGCTGGCAGGTGTCAGTTTCTCCAACTTTAGTTGAACCGAGTGTGGCTACGTTCGGTCCTTGCAAAGGTTAAAACAACACCAACTTGACAAACTATCATTGTGGTTTTGATGCGTAGGTAAGAACGGTTCTTGCTAAGCCCGTAGCAGCCACGTAAAATTTGCAACAAACAAAGTAGAGGATGTCTAACTTGTTTTTGCAGGGCATGTTGTGATGTGATATGGTCAAGACATGATGCTAAATTTTATTGTATGAGATGATCATGTTTTGTAACCGAGTTATCGGCAACTGGCAGGAGCCATATGGTTGTCGCTTTATTGTATGCAATGCAATCTCCCTGTAATGCTTTACTTTATCACTAAGCGGTAGCGATAGTCGTAGAAGCATAAGATTGGCGAGACGATAATGATACTACGATGGAGATCAAGGTGTCGCGCGGGTGACGATGGTGATCATGACAGGTGCTTCGGAGATGGAGATCACAAGCACAAGATGATGATGGCCATACCATATCACTTATATTGATTGCATGTAATGTTTATCTTTTATGCATCTTATCTTGCTTTGATTGACGGTAGCATTATAAGATGATCCCTCACTAAATTATCAAAGTATAAGTGTTCTCCCTGAGTATGCACCATTGTGAAAGTTCTTCGTGCTGAGACACCACGTGATGATCGGGTGTGATAGGCTCTACATTCAAATACAACAGGTGCAAAACAGTTGCACACGCGGAATACTCAGGTTAAACTTGACGAGCCTAGCATATAACAGATATGGCCTCGGAACACGGAGACTGAAAGGTCGAGCGTGAATCATATAGTAGATATGATCAACATAGTGATGTTCACCGTTGAAACTACTCCATCTCACGTGATGATCGGACATGGTTTAGTTAATATGGATCACGTGATCACTTAGAGGATTAGAGGGATGTCTATCTAAGTGGGATTTCTTAAGTAATATAATTAATTGAACTTAAATTTATCATGAACTTAGTACCTGATAGTATCTTGCTTGTCTATGTTGATTGTAGATAGATGGCCCGTGATGTTGTTCCGTTGAATTTTAATGCGTTCCTTGAGAAAGCAAAGTTGAAAGATGATGGTAGCAATTACACGGATTGGGTCCGTAACTTGAGGATTATCCTCATTGCTGCATAGAAAAGTTACGTCCTGGAAGCACCGCTAGGTGTACCACCTACACCAGCAACTGCAGACATTGTGAATGCCTGGCAGTCACGTGTTGATGATTACTCGATAGTTCAGTGTGCCATGCTTCACGGCTTAGCACCGTGACTTCAACGATGTTTTGAATGCCATGGAGCATATGAGATGTTCCAGGAGTTGGAGTTGATATTTCAAAAGAATGACCAGATTGAGAGATATGAAGTCTCCAATAAGTTCTACAACTGCAAGATGGAGGAGAATAGTTCTGTCAGTGAGCATATACTCAAGATGTCTGGGTACTGCAATCACTTGATTCAACTGGGAGTTAATCTTCCGGATGATAGCGTCATTGATAGAATTCTCCAATCACTGCCACCAAGCTACAAGAGCTTCGT